AGGTGATACAGATAAACAGAGTTTAGATATTGTAAGTTATAAACATTATAATTATATTATATATATATATTGCAGGGCTAATCGAATTCTTTTAAAATACTGCCAATGCGATAACGAAAGGAAATAACTTAAAATGTGCATGCATGGGCACTTGAATTCCCATCCTCGTCCCAGGGCCTAGCTCCGTTGCTCTCCACATGTGGAGAGCAACGGAGCTAGGCCCTGGGGACGAGGATGTTGAATTCCAAGAAACGGAAGTTGGTCCCAGGAATTATATTTCCGTTAAAGCCGAGAGAGAAAGGATTAAATTATTGGCGCCATTTTGAAAGACGGTTGCATGACTCTAGAATCTCGAACTGAACGTCTTTGCAGTTTAAAAATGGCGGAGAGAGTAAATAGAGAAGATATAGATGATCCCCAAACAAAGCCCTCGAATCCTTTAAACTGGAGTGAGTGGCGAGAAGCCATGGTGCCATACGATATCGGCGTTGAAGACCCCGAGATTTATTCCTCTCGGAATGCTCATCAAGGCGTTTATAGTACGCACTTTTACAACAAAAAAACTCTTCAGGAACTTCACACACAAAACGATTTGGGCGTTTATGAATTAAAAGTTGAGAAAGGTTATCAAGAAGCAGTTGTTTATGTTGGCTCTACACATCGAGAAGCAGAGAGTGCTCTGTACGAGAGGATAAGAGAATACATGACCCACGGAAGCCACGTACGAAATATAATTCAGAGGGCTCTTGATCTTGATTTTGATATCCATGTTCGATGGTTAAACGTAGAAAGAGCTCTTATTGCTAGTTTAGGCGATATTGAAATGGCAGAAGACGTTGAAAACTTATATTTGGAAGCATACGACTATGCTTGGAATAGGCGTTTGAACGGTGAGCGAAGGGTAGTTTTTGATATTGGTGTTGAAATATAGATACACTTCTTCACACGAAATCTATCAGTATCCAAATAGTATAGCTACTTATTATACTTATACTACATGTAATTATAATATAATTAATATTTGTTATTATTATACTTATACTACATGTAATTATAATACTTGGCATGAACTTTATCTACAGGAAAATTCTTGACATTGCCATTGGTATCCTGCGAAGTTAGTAGCTATATTATATAAACTTCTTCAGATAAAAATCTTATTATCATACTATATCTTAATATAGTTGATTGTCACCGTAAAACATTTATATTTCGTTTACTACCCAAAGACAGTTATTTGCTACGAACATTATATAAGATATTGATTACTGAGATTTCATATTGTATGTCCAATGTTTATTTCATCAAATGTATTAGATCAACAGTTAATGTATTATTACAGTTCTTTCCATTATTACTGGCAGTTTTGAGATGCTGTAACTGTATATTCTTTGCCTTTGGTCATTATTATGTGTTCTTTAGCAATCATCATTTTAAATTCTTTTGTAATAAAAAAATTCTAGAAAAATTCATTCCACAAAGTGAACGTTTCAAATATAGTTCGCACGGTACCGGATTGCCATCAGAACATGCAAGTCAAATTTTGAAGTAAGTAAAAAACAGTGAAGATTTTTTATGTCCGAGGTTTGAATAAAATACTAAATCTGTCAAATTGATAAGCATTTGCTAATCATGGTTGCTTCATAACGGCAAACGAATTATAGATTTCGATTAAAATAACTCCAGTTTGGCAGGCGAGCTTGTTCTGTGAGAGCCTGACATGGGAGCAGACGCTGTGGGTCGCCCGCCGTCTACGTTCATCGATACTCTCAAGAGGGATGTGGGGGCGAATTCTGCCTTAGAACTCGCTCGCTGTATGACAGACCGGGAAGATTGGCGTGCCAGGCGTGCGACTCGGCTGAGGTCGCAAGATGATGATGATGATGATTAGGAATGGTGTTAAAATTAGATTTGCACGAATAACATGCTTCGGTGATATTTACGGGTAGTGTTTTCGTTAAAAGTTCAAAATAATTGAAGCCATTGTTGAATACGCAAGATAAATACAAGAAATCACAATTGAACGTCGTCAGTGTTTTGAATGGCGAAGAGAAAGAGAGAGAATGAACCTGACCCTCAATCAAAAACGATCAAGAAAAAGCTTTTGCACTCTTCTCATGTAAACGTAATTGTACTTTAGTATGGATTTATATTAGCACGCGCGATCTCGCTTGGTAGGGCTAGCCTTCCCTGTGGGGCTCATGCAAACAGCCCCTAAAGCGGCATAAATGGAGCGCGTGGCGAGAAGCCATTGTACCGAGAAGTGTCGGGACTCGGGGTTCAAGACGGAGAGCGTTATTCCCCTCGTACTGTTCGCACGTTGAAATCTGTTATTTTGGTATAAAAATTGTACTGTGAAATATTAATACTTCATTTACTCTGCTGTGAATATTATATGATATAGATTTGATATTGCATGCATGTTCAAATTATGTGTAATTTATAATTTCATTAAATGTAACAGACGAATAGTTTGCACTATTAGTGTAGTATTCCAGCTTTATTTGTATTTTTGATTGCATCTAAAAGAGGCTACGAGTAAGACTATGTGAACCCTTGGCGATAGACAACGCAGTGTTGACCTCGGGGTAAGAGGATCATGGCTAAATTCCACAAGCCCGTTTCGTATTTTTTCAAAGAAATGTAGTATATTTTATAACGGACAGCCAATGAAGAGCAGGCAATGCCCATCTTCAAGTTGAGATTTCATTCAACATGTATTCATGGATTAGTGTAGTGAGAATGAAACCACAATCAAATATTTGATTACCGCGCAATAATCCGAGTTTGCTCGACCAATCAGAGGCCAGAATTCTCGATAATCATGCACCTTTGTAATTAAGTTCCAATATAACCAGGGAGCAGCGTTGCAGCGTCCTCAAATAACTTAGCATATATCATACTATCTCTCCTGACGAAAGCCCTCAGGTCGAAATGTCGAGAAGTGTTTTGTCTATTTTAGGCAGTTGTTATACCACATTTGACACCTTAGTAATTATATCAAATATTCAAATTGCGCATCGATACGAAATATTCATGTCACCTCCAGGGACTCATCATAAAATAAAACTATGTGTTTGTTTTTGGCTCTGTTTGTTTTCAAGCTTTGACATATTAAAGAACTGAACTGCTATTTCCTTTTACGTGATTTTATCGGCCGTAAACTGTAGGTACCTTTTACCCACGTATTATGTCTATAGAGGTCGTCCTTCCAGAGAGATCCTGCAACAGATATTATATTACAAAGCTAACCAATACAGAAAGTAAATGACGTGAATGGACAGTGATTCCAGGAACCAGAACTTCTGGTTCCTGGAATCACTGTCCATTCACGCCAGAAGTTCAAGGTCCAATCGCATTTCCGTTGGAAGTTCAAATTTTGGCGGCATTGTTGAGAAAGTGCAATACTGATTTCAAGCACACACTCAAAGGGAACGTTTCGGAGTCGATGAGAAATGGCGAAGAGAAAAAATAGAGAGACCATAAAAGATCCGAGATCAAAAACGATCAATAAAAAGCGACATAGATGGAGCGTGTGGCGAGAAGCCATGGTGCCGTCAAGTGTTGGTACTAAACACGGAAAGCTTTATTCGCTTCGTACTAAACGAAAGGGTGTTAAAACAACTCATTATTACAACGAAAAAACTCGCCAGCAACTGGCCAAGCGATGCCCAGATAGTGAAAGGTGTTGTGGAATTTACGAGCTGAAGGCCGTCAGGGGAAAGAAAGAAGCCGTGGTGTACATTGGCTCGACCCATAGAAAGGCAGGACGATCTCTGTACGGACGGTTGAGTGAATACATGACCGATGGAAGCCACATAGAAAAAATAATCCAGAGAGCCCTTGACGGAAAATGTCGTGTCCATGCACGATGGCTGAAAATAAGCGGAGACCTTTGTCGTAGGGATAGCGGCGTAGAATTGGCGGAACAAACAGAAAACGAGTATTTGGAGAAGTATGATTACGCTTGGAATAAGAACTTGAATGGTAAGCAAAGAAAAATATTTGGTATTGGAGTCGATGTATAGTTACACTTCACATATTTAGGAAACTATTATTGTAGTAAAAATATGGTACTGCAAAAAACATTAATATTCCATTACTATATGTATATGTCATTTGCTGTGAACTTTAGGATAGATATAAATTTGCTGTAGATCTATATAGATGTAGATACGATCTTAATATGTTCAAAAATATGTACTGTACTTGATTGAATACAACGAAATAATAATAATTATTCAATGAATATGCGAGGGTATAAAACATTGGCAACCACTAAAGCGGAACGCTTGGTTATAGTTTTCGACGTTGAGTGTGCAGACGAGCGCAGCTCAATCAACCAACCCTGCAACCCACACCTCGGTCGGTCGTACTCAGACTCGCACGCAGCGCGGCGCGGTGCAGACAGGCTGTTCCAGCTTGTCTCCGATGCCGCTGACCAAAATTCATCCCCATACCTTGTTCAATCTGAACATGAATATGAGTGTTGCTGGATCGTCACTTGCCTAATTTCCAAAATTTACCCCACGCATTTACACCCTTAAAGTCAAGCCCGTATATGTAAACAAACGGTTTGTTAATTTTGAACTTCACTACTTTTTAAAATACGATGTGCTGTCTGAATATCTAACACTATTTAGGTTCGTTACGCTTCTAAATTAATATGAACTAGAGTTTATGTTAAGAAAAAATAAGAAGCATGCGAAATTTAGACATTCTCACATCAGAGGTCCCTGACTTGTTAAGAGCAGAACTTATGCGCAGAACGGACTTGACTTCCAGTTTAAGGGTTTAACGGCAAGCTATTGTGGATAAACTAGCGTCGGAAACTACTTAAAAATTTTTGAATAAGCTTGGAGCAAAAGGTGTTGCTTCGAAGTTCAAATTTAACTCGAAAAACACGACAGTTCGATATTAAAAAAATTACTCAAAGGCACGCTAGTTTCTGGATATAATAAACATGCAATAATCATCAAATATAAATTGTGTATACGTACTATGAAAGACGGAGCAGGATTGGCTTTCGCAGAATCAAACCTTAACCTAGAGGGAATAAAGTTATGTTTTTTAACACAGCTAAGACCAATTTTAGGATGTCTGTGTCGATGACTGTAGTCTTTAAAACTTTTCAAACGAATCGCTTACGTACTTCGATTCTTTCTCCGCTTGTATTTCGTACATCTTCCTCTGAGTTTTGCCCGATTTCTGAGAATTGGCGCATTGGAATTGCGAAGCATTGGCAGTGATCAGGTTGCTCTAAATTGCGAGAAAAAAAATGATCTCATACCTCAAATTCAAATTGTCCATTTAAAAAACATTCTTTGTCTGACGCCAGTCAATATATTCAGGAGAGCTAGCGCAAGGGCCAAGAGCGTTATTAGAGCTCTTTAGACTGGGGATTACCATAGAATTCTAACCACGTAAACTAGCTTTATACGTTCAAAATATAAGATGTATATGCAATGCATTGCACGGCCGACGCCGATAAAAAATACCTCTGCCTTTCTCCTGTTCTTTGATCTCGCCTCTTCTAACTTAGAGTTGACAGAGGGCGTTGCATATGTGCTCTGGGGAACCTAAAGTTTGACATGGAAACGATGCGAACAAGTAAAATCGTGGGATTATATCGTATCTGGGTCCGGACGATGTACTGGGACCGGGGCTGGCTAGACAAGATATTAAGATGGGGAAATGCTTGCACGAGGTAATAAAATGCATTCGGCAATCTGTGAAAGATATGATTGATAGGTAAAATTGACATCAGTATACTTACTGGTTTTGACGGCTTTAACTTTGGGATCTACGTGTTTGTAAGAGAAAACAGACTTCATTCAGCATACGTGTATATAATAATTGTGTTCAGCATAAGGGGACGTGTTTACTAGTATAAAAAATCGCCCACTACTGTACATACCTTTTCAGGAACGGGAATACTCCGTGGTCTTGGCTGAGTTAGTTTAAATGGCTTCATATCTAGAACATCACAAAAACGAACTTTTCAGGTATTGACGATCTTATGATATAGGTATGAATGATCAGACGTGGATTGAATGAGGGAACATTACAATCGAAAAAAATCAGACGTCGCATAACAGTCTTGCAGACCGCTGGTTCGATCAGATTTGTTCGGACCAAACTGGAAAGGACGTTCAACTCTAGGTGTGCTGTCGAGCCTCACCCAGGATCATTCCAATCAACAGAACAAAACTCCTATCTGATAAGATACAAATGCTTGTTCGTCAGTCTGTCTCAATATATTACAATATAGAGGTATAAGAACATTCCAAAACATCCAGGTAGACCTAGTCCTATAGTTTAGGCTGTTATCAGATTGGATCGATACATAAAAAGCTATTCATATTAGGATATTCATGCATATATGTAATAATATATTTCTCACCGGTCTTGGGTTTTCTTTGCCGTTCAGGAACTTGCCTACTGGTGATTTTCTCTTCCAATCTCAATAGTATCACATCATGTAGCTCTGGAAGCCAGCTGTAAAATACAGTTTCCATTCTTTAGTGTTTTCAAAGAAAAGGACTCGGAAGCTAATTGCGAACAAGTAAGGTAGAGTATGTGCACTGTTCAATTGTATGTTAAAGTTAATTCAGTTAGAATGTAGCAAATTAGATTCGTTCTTCTATATATTAATTAGGCTTACAAAGATGACATATGACGTACCTTAGCAAGGTGGAAACTAATGTTGTTTCAACATAGGAATGATCGTACAATTTGCACCACTAAAATATAGTTGAAATTTCATATAACCAAATGTCTTATACTATAATTATTAGGTAACAGATGTTAATTACTCTCGCACTGACAAGTATGTGGAAATTAAACTAGCTTGTTTGCTAGGAAAAATAAAATATTAGAGAAAAAATAAATAAAAAATAATAATAAACTAGCAATTTTTTAGCCTGTATATACTTTTATAAGTATAAGTTTTTGAAAAGTTGAACCACTGCTTTCATGACCAAATAGGATATATAGCTGCATGTTTACCTCATCAGCCATCCATGTTTTAATGTTCTTCTCGTCAAGGAAAAATTTGAAGAACCTAAACATCTTATTGACGTCCTGGGTTGCAACCAGTTTACGTAAATAACCAACTCCAAGTTCTTCCAACCGAAACAGCACCAAATAGCACAAGACTGATTGAATGGAAAAAATGTTCAGTTTGGTTTGATTGCTATCAATTAAATTAAGCCCCCACCCGAAGGTAGATCTACATGTAATTATCTCATTCAGTCTCCTGTACATTAGCTGCTGGGTAACCAGGTGCATATTGGCAATATTGAAACCAGGAATTAATTGTTGCAACAAATTCTCAAACACACCCTTCCATCATACCTGTGTACAGGTTTTTATCTGTTCGAAGACAATTTTTGCCATCTTTTACATAATATGCATCGACAACCACCTAGAGATAAAGAAAATGCCAATTTACCAATACAATAATCTAGCCGATTGTTTTCCCAACAAAACTATTGCCAAAACAAGTTTTAAAAACAATATGTGCATTGTTTTAATGCTCATATATTTAGTTTTTGTCAGAACTGGCAATAATTATCGTGCACGCCACACCACAGTGCACTGTTTTATATACAAAAATATATTGTACTATGCCGAAACAGAAAAACAGGATGTTTTCAGGTGAATCTATCCATTGAAGGGCATATATGCAGATACAATCAAGGTCCAGATAAATATTGCCAGCAGAACCTCATTAAGTACTGAATACAATTAAGTTGCCTAGGGGGGCATGCAATATTCAATGAAGTTTATGCCAAAGATATTGGACACTGATTTATAAACTAAAGATTTGGCATATCTTTAGCATACAATTTACAGGAAATGTACCATGAAGGAATACCTGGATTGGTAGATGCCAGCTAGATGGAATCTGCTTTATTACAGTTAACAAGATGTACAATACCAACCTTTGTAATGCTCTCATGTCTGACACACCCGGAAAATACTTCAATCACAAATACTCTTGTATTTTCATCTGTTACCTAAGTTAAAAACAATGAAATATGAGTTACCCAATTTATATTTAACAATGCTGACAGATAATTCTTGTGTGATGATCTAGGTAGAATGATAGACAAAAACAAAATGGTTTTGTCTCTCAAATTCTCACCGTATTCTTTTTCAACCAATTTTCTACATGTTCTTCAACCCCGTGAGTGGATGAGTTGTAAGTATCGAGAACCTCACTTGAATATTTCATCAATAATCTCACAGAACTCATGATGTGAATTCTACTCTACACTTTGACTCAACTCGAATTTCGCGTTAAAAACAAATAGATCTTAATTTTTATAATCAATGAAGCATGCTACTTCAAATAACTATAATTTCCTAAGAAAAATCTTTCATCAGAACAACAGAAGTAGTTCAAATTAAACGAAATATACCTTGCACTTCTAGTTTATGAAAGAATTGCCAATATGGCGGCTCCTTAGCAACCGCCTTGACAACAAAGCTTTATAGAGGGACACGGTGGGACCTTACGGTACAATCCACTTGTACGAGGGAAATTCAAATCACAGTGTAATTAGCGCAATAAATATTTTCTCTATGAACCCAGTCCCTAACCGACACACTTTCCTAATCGCAAATACGAAATCCGTGAAATCCGTAACAAACCACCAGAACTCAAAGATAGCTTTTCATGGTATGCCAAATCTTTAGCACGTTTCAAAAGTCAAAACCTTCAGACTCAATCATGCTCCTACACCTGTTCAGTGGCAGTAACCTAAAATATTATAATTAATCAATAGACTTATATGGCATAAGATATTTCCATGAAACAATTGTACCTTCTCTAAAATGCCTAGGACAAACCTCCGCAATAAATAGACCCACCAATGCCTCTAGCAGTCTACGTGTAGAAGCGATACAAAATAACTCCGTCTAAAACGACAACGTTGTGTCTATATTTTCTGTTTCATATTATAAACCCACTCAAGTGGGAACAATTATTAGTTGTTGTAATGGTTATTACACAATATATTGTTCGTATTTTTTTTATTATTGCGATGTAAATATATAATTTCCCTCTTGTTTAATCGTCATCGCTATCGTCCATCCAATCATCGTCATCGAATTCCATGGACTGGAAGTCAACTCGATACCTTAGTATACCTGCAATGAAGGCGAATTCAGTATTAAAGTGGCCCAAAGATTGGATTAATGAAAAAGTAGGGAAGGTGAACTCTTTTATGCGGGAGGCGGGAGGGAGGTGCGCGAATTTTTAAATATTATTCTTCTAGAAAAGGTTCAAAATAAATTCCACGAGATATTTTAAAATCTGGGCATGAAAAATTCATCACAGACACAATTCCGAAGTTCGATACTACGGAAACATTTATGAAATTCACAATGTTTCTTTGAATCTTGCCTAATTTGTCTTGGGTGGACATGCATAAGAGTTGACATAATATGTAGTTGTATATCTGCATCAATATAAAGTTTAACGCGAAGTTACATCATTCTTTAAAAGTATACTAGAAAACAGGCCCCTGGTACTCAAAATATCAATTTTCCAATTACTAAATCAATAGTTACCTCCAATTCCCCCAAAGCCTTTACAGAATTGAGCCCCTTCTTGTGAACGATCAGTTATGATCTCGAGTGTTGCGCCTAAGAAAAATCAGATGGTATCATGGTAGCTCATTTCTTCCTTATCTGATCTTTTGTTTACAAATTTATATATCTAAACTTATATCTTGTCTAGGTCGATAAGTGTTCACCAAAGTTCTCACCAAAATTTTTGTAGTTATTAGCCAGCCATTCAAGCAAGGACATTTTTTCGACAAGTTCCAATTCAACCCCCGTCTGTAATATTACAATAGATTTTATGAAAACCTCAGCTGGTCAATTTAAACATTTATATAGAAGCTAGATACAATAATAATATTCTTGTATGTTTGCATGGTGACAGTCGATAAGTAATTTAGCTTGTAGGTGTACCACGTAAGTATTTAATATTGCACAAACTGCCTTTTCAGATGTTATGAAGCAATTCACTTACACTCTGATCTATGAAGTTGGTTTGGTCCCGTTCTTGATCAGGACGTAGATGCAAAACCTTTTCCTCTAAAAACAAATAGAATACGTGTCGCTTCTGGCTTCTTCCTTTTGTGAAAGTTGATATATCTCGATATATATAAGGTACGACTAGACAAACTAGTCAGGACAGATCTTGGGTAAGAGGTGTAAGTCAATACCGTACAGAAAAGGATGCTAAGATGTGAACACGCACGAGAAGATGTGTGAACGCGCAAAACACTCCAACACAACAGAGGACTAGCATTTCTGCTCAGCCTGCGTTGAAGGGTGAAGACGTTCACCAAAACCTTGCTTTATGATGGAGGAAAACTGTTGTGTCGTTTAGTGATCGTAGACACGACAGGGAACTACCAACCATCAATGTCTAAGTAATAATAGTTTTCCGCAAGCAAGATAGGGGAATATTTATCATACAAACAAACAGGTAATACTGTATTTTGCACCAGAATTCCCTGCAGGTGTCACGGCTTGTTACGTCATTATGCACAAGATCTTTTCTGTCAGATCAAGATGAGGCTCAATATCAACGAGAAGCAAGTTCACACCAGTCAAACAAACGAGAACGCAGAATAAGTTCTACTGATATTCCAGGACTAAATGACTGAATATCGTACCGTCTAACGCATGATTCTTTAGCACGAATCTCTGGATTTCTAAGTTTTCCCAGACGATCAGGATATCCACAGCACCCATTTCTAGGGCCTATATGTGACAAATGAACCAATTTCTGTCTTAAAATTCAAATTTAAACGCCAAAGGGCAAAATGTGCAACGGGTCAACCATCGCGCATACCTTCAATGTATCATCGACGCCAAAACAGAACTTCCCAGTATCTTGTGAAATTTCGTCAAAATATCTTCCTAAAATTAATCGTTTTTCCATAGCTTCAGTTTCACACAGCGAACGTAAAAGACTAAATTTCCCCAGCCTGAATTACCGGTCCAGTTTTATTCGAGTTCATTCGCAAATGCTCTATGCAGACGTGATTCCAATCAATAAGATGAAAATGAATTACGGAACCCCTTATTTACCTATTAGTTTCTTCTCTTGTATAAACTTGACGTTCGCCAAAACCTCTGAAGCCAATTCAATAGCCTTAAAAATATAAAACACAAACAATAAGTACATGTATATACGGAGTCAATTTCTGGACCGCCAAAGAAGCAATAGGCACATCTCACCTGGTTAAATCCATTTTCCCCGCCATAAGAAACGTCGACCAGCTTGAGTACTCTTGACTGAAGGCGCTTTAAAAGGAACAAACCGCAGCTTTTTTAGCATGAATAGAGAATGAAACCTTTACTGGAATTTTCCGGCTATGGGGTGTAAAATAGCTTAAAAGAACTAAAATATAGAGTAATGCTATAGTTTGAAAAAGAACTTCGCAAACAATTTGGTAGCAACACTTTAATGTTAACATCAGTTTTTTCATTATAATCTTGTGCATTTTGCTTCATGAAAATAAATACTGTTTCACAGGGTTCATGGTTAATGAAAAATTGTTCGGGATTTATATACTTGTAAGGGATAACCGGCAAGAGTTGAGAAAAATTCAGCAACCATCGGCCCAGTGGCAGGAATCGAACCTATAGCTTCTGTACGTCCTGTGAGTTGCTGGTGACCAGTGCACCATTATGATCGACGACGAGGTTTAGTGATAGTGTAAGTATGCACATGGAAGATTATTAATTCCGACGATTCGTTTTTCGGTAAAAAATTCCCTTCAAATCTTTGGATAAGTTACGGGAGATACTTTGCTAAGTATTTGATATTTTGCTGAGTATTTGTTGAGTATGAATGCAGTCATGCAGACCATATTTCGTCCGCGGTTCCAGGAAAATAAGACCACACAAAACAATAGAGTAATAAAATCTTGCATGTACACTCTTGGTCTCGATGTGTGAACGGGCAAAAAACTCCAAACACATCAGTGGACTAGCATTTCTGCTCAGTCTGTGTCAGAGGGTGAAGACGTTCGCGAAACATTACTTTATGATGGAAGAAAACCGCAATATCATCGACTCTAGACATCACGGGGAACTTATCAACCATCAATACCACTGCACGGAAAATGCAATCGGTTCTATTAACACGAATATGGTACGTTCGACCAATGAAATATAGTAGCTACTTTATAAATATTTACCTGGTCGAATATATCAGACTGGCTTAATTCTGTCTTAAAGTCGGCTGAACCAGCCAATATAAGTCCAGTGACGTTAGGCTAAAGTTAAAAAAAAACAGATGAAAAAAAATCATTTAGACAGAGTAAAGGAATATGCACAGTTACTTCCTAGTGTATGTAGTAGAATAATAACTGCCTGAAATAAACAAACACTTCTCGACGTTTCGACATATTATCAGGGGCGCCGGAAGCAGTTTAGGGGCGACGGTGGCAGAGTTTTAGAAAAGGGCACATTCATTTTACCTTAGCAACCACACGAAGAGGAAACTCAAATTTAGAAGTACATGCGAACTTGCAAATCCACGGGAGAACACATTTTCAATAATATTACAGGCTAGTTTTTATGCGAAAAATAGGCATCATGATTAAATGGTGAAATTATGATACTTTTATATGGTAGCAAAGGGCACAGGGCTGCCCTCGCTCGCCCCCATTAAAAAAGGGCAGGGGGAGCAGCTGCCCCCGAGGTTCCGGCGCCCCTGCATATTATACCATATTTGATGCAAAGTTATTAGACATGGCACACTGCTCCTTGCATGGTTATAATTAGAACGGATCCAAAAAGTTCATTATTTCGTTAAAATTTTTAAAATCACACACTTTTCCACTGAGTTAAATGTCCAACTAAGGAGATTCCTCAAAGTTACATTAAAATAAAATGTAGCTATACCTGATTGTAATGAACATGTTGGGATAAGTTGGGATATATATATATAAAAAAAGACCAAACATACTTTATCGTTATTTATATATAGCTGTACAGCGGTCTCCGCCACTTTTCTGACGTAGTTATGTCTTTTTTCCATTCTAAGTCGAGCAAATCGTAGAGCTGACTGACCACCACGACCTGAGAAACAAACACGTATCTTTTAACATAATCTGAATAGATGTTCGAGCTACCATTCTGCTACACGACAAAAAACGCATAGATTGTGACTGTTTGGTGAAGCAATGACGTTAGACTGCGCCTCACTAACATGGTTGTTATGATTTATTAAGTTGTGAAACAACGTGTGGAAGTCTATAACAATTTTGCTGCAAGTTGATAACACGCGTGGGGTACAGCACAACATTGTCATTGTTTCATCAGCCGGGAACAACTTGAGCGTTTTAAGTCGTGGACTATACAAACTTTTTTTGTTTTTTGTCAAACTGCGTGTACTATTATACGTTTACATGTTGGTTGAAAGTAAGCACAGAATATATGAAATAGATACACGGTGCCTGCTAGTCAACCATGTTTGATTTACCATTCCTGCATTTACTCTGAACATATTGGAAATTAGAGTAGCACTTCAAATAACAGGAATGGACGAAATATACGCTCTCAACTAACAAACCTTTAAAGGAAAATGGTCATGTTAGGGCTACGTATGCATACGGACAGAGACATATGCAATTAATCTAGGTACAAATAACATCAAATTTTCTAATTTCATTGTGGTTACTATGTATGTTGGAAGAATATTTCAAAATCCAATTCTATTTTGGCAGATTCTCTGGTCACAAACGTGACACTGCTTTCTATTTTGTTACATGTAATATATTATAAAGCCTGTAGAAACAGAAATGCAACGTGTATGACTGGAGAAGCGCCCTTACTGTCTCTGTATTTACACTCTTGTTTTATCTTGAATATTAAGAACACAAGATGTCGGAATCTCTGTTTTATTTTGTACATTCTACTATATAAGCTGAAAGCAAGAGTTCGCTAGGACGAAGAAGTTAAAGTCAAGTTTTCTAGATTAGTATGATGGGGACTGATATCAAAATTATCCTTGATCTGAAACTTTCTGAAAGATTGGTAAAATGTTACCACAGCAAGTGTTACATAGTTGCATATAAAAACAGATCAATATTGCCTACCATGTTTCTTTGGTAGATCAACAGTAAATCTGTGAAGAACGTCTCGAGTGTTTCCACATAGCGTACCAAAGAGAGCACCATTACCATCCATCACAATAAAACCAAACTTAGTATCGTCTGTTAGTAAATTGCTTAATGCCTATTGGAGATGGAAAAGAACAAATGAACATGAGATTTGTCAAACCTCAGAGATTCTAGTCACAAATCCTAAACACACACACACAAGGAGAAACTTAAACTTTCGCTGTCAATCTAGTTGTTAAATGTAACATCAAGTTCATCCACAGAAGACTACAAACAACAGTCTACTATGGTCTTGGAGGATGCTTTAAGTGCTTGTTGTACCTTCCACGGAAAAACCTCCAGCTAATGGTTAATAATAACTGCAGGACGTTACAGAAAGGATAATAGACTGTATAACTAAATAAGGTTAAAACCAGTCTCTAAATTATTATTAAACCATAGGTGTGCTATCACAAAACAACCATCAGAATTACTGATTTAGAATGCAGTTCTCACCTCCGTATGAAATTTGTTATCACAAAGATATAGAGATGTGTTGATGGGTCGAAATGGTTCAAAATCAATATTGACTTTCTTTTCTTTACCATCCTCTGTAACTATTGTACCACAATATATCACTAAGCCATTTGGCGGCACTGTAAGAAAAAGTTCAAAGAATTTCATGTCATTACGAAATGCCAGATGATTTGGCAGATTGGATAATGTATTTACCTTTGTTATATAGTTTTAACCTCTGTTGTACTGATGTAATTGCACTTAGAACAGATAACCTATATGCAAAAATAAAACAAATTGAATAGGATTGAATTATAAAGAAATGCACGAAACCAACAAGCAACAACAGAACAATATGCCTCTCAAATTCAAATCCACCACAAATTAACTTCTTATATAACTTGTTTTTATAGGTCGAGAATTATCGACCAAATATTTGAAAGGTAATCTGAATTTGACAGAGCATAACTTCTTAAGATACCTATAGATACCTAATAGTGGATACCCAATAGTGGATTAAAAGTAAAGATGGTTGCAGCTGATATTTTTGTTTGAAAGGTTAGAATTTAATTAAAAGATTTAGCAATCATAATTATGATGCCTGTAACTTCTAATTGAGATTACCTGTTAACACGACTTTTTATATTTGAGGCTGTACCAAATTCATCAGCCAACATTTTCGCAACTCTTGATATCTGGTCTTTTGGTGGGATGATTAGCGAAATCATACTTGTTCCATTTCTTAAAACACAATGTTGGGCTTACCATAAGTGCATAATAGAGCAATTTACACACGCAATAATAAGCCACAGCCTCCTAAATAAGCTGTGGCTTAAATACGTCGCAAACAGTCTTTAAATGGTCCATTTGTTTGCCACTGAAATAAACTGAGGCTAAAGCATAGAGCTCGTCCAAAAAAGCTGTAGCTGCTTTGAGTCACACAATTTCCATACATGAACTGCTCCACAACCAAATTTTAGAGTAAATTTTATATTTCAAAGGTCCTAGCTTCAACACCGTCACAGTCTCAACCAAGGAGACTGATAGCCATCACTAACTTGTGTTTGTTTAACATTTAATGTATATACTATATAAGTTTGAAATTAAGCACAATTTATGATAAATTCAAACCAAGAAAAGATTAAAACAAGTGCCTATGCTGTACCCTCTTGCAGCCTCAAGACTTTTGATTAGTTTCTTAATTTTCCACATCTCAACATTTCTGTCTGCAGCTTCTGCTCCTTCCATTTTTCTGTAAAATTAGAATAACAGAATAAAACAGGTTCCCAGGGATAAACACTAGCCCTAAAAGGAATTTCAATCCGGTGTTTTAAAACATGTAATTGTTGAAATACATTAGCTCCTATAGCAACTAAAAAATGAGATTCTACATTTGGTTTCCATGCATATTAGGCCATCATCGCTCAACACGCTATTGTTGCTGTAAATTTGAACCGCTCTTAAATTAGATGGCCCAATGTACTCAAATTTAGGCTGGTGACTTTTAGCTGGCCAATTAAATTCCTTAGAGTGAATGATGTGAATGTTATATAGAACAGCCTGAATTATGTTTTAGAAAAAAACTTTTTGAATGGAATATGGGCACGTTTTTCTCAAGGAAATAGAGCAAGAGGCTCATAGCTCCTAGGAAACATGAGCCTATGGGAGTTGGCCTTACTAGTGTCAAAAGGATAGCTAAAATTTATATTATCACCCTTAAAATATGTCGAACAAGTTTGAAGTCCTTAGTGAAGCATATATAATTACATAGAAATGTCTGATTTTAACATCTAAACACCAGACAATTTTACCTAAACCCAAGGGTAAACTAGTATACTTTAAGCAGATTTTATACACATTAGTAAAATCAACACAAAGTTTCAAAAATTTGACACAAAAATATATGCAATCATCACAGCTTTTCACTTGTATATATATAAAATACACGTGCTACTTTGAGAGTTTTATAAACACAGTCATCGATATAAGGTTGTCACAGGAATTCTTACCAAATCTTGTGTGAATGTAACGAATTTCTTTTAAAAATTACCAGCTTTAGTTAGGAATATCTCCAGAAATTATAAATCTTTACAAAAAAATTAAAAACTTGACCGGAAAACGACGTCTTAAAAATGCTTGTTTGAAAATGGTGCAATTCTGCATTCCAATCTGCGGCTCAATGTCAGCGGTACAATAATGGATCGAATCAATCCAGTTTCCAGTAATATATTAGGATCAAAGTTTCGCACGATTTTCAGTTTTCACTTCGATTCGAGTGATTGACGTTGTCTCAATGGAACTCAAACATTATAGCGAGTAGTCTAGTTAAGTTGTTTTTGTAAATAGTCTGTAGAACTTAGTTTTTATTGCGTGATCGATTATTGTAAATTTCCCTAGCACTAATAATAAATTAAAAAAAAATTGATACGAGTACTAGACTCAAGAGACCGCGGCCTAAGAGACCGCCTACAAGAGACGGATCATCCGTCTAGACAGATAAGACAGTCTTCTTACTCTTCTAGACTAGTAGTTCGTCTTCATCATCGACGTCGACGGATCATCCGTTATAAAGCAGTTCAGGAGAATTCAGATTTCAGGACTATCTTTAAAATTCGCTTTGACGAACTTTTATCCCCGTCTTTTTCAATGAAAACTATCACCGTACAGGCCGTTAGGACTGGAAGTTAAAATCTCGCCAAGGGTATTCAATTAGTCTATAATTTTATAGAGCTACTGATATCTAAAGGACAAATTAATAAATGAAAAAATAAAATGAATAAGGCACAAAACCAAGTACAGTTGCCATTCGGTCAATCATTACGCTTAATGCTTACACTTACGAGAAATATTGCTTTCGTTTTGAGAATAATCCTATTGATTTATACCAGTGATTTATATTGGATTATATTGGCATATTTTGGCATTTTGGGTCACAATCAGAATTTCGTGCGAAAAAAATGTAAAGAAGGCCAGGCCACAAAGCGTGTTGCTACATTACGTCATTGCAACATTAATGGTTCATTAGAGCTTAAATGGTCACACTTCACAGCTCATGGTCATGCAGCATACTAGCTCCAATGATGTTATAGTGTAATGGTATCGTACTAGGAGCACTATAAGCAAATTTAATACTAAGCAATCAAAGTCAATATAATAGGACCAATGAATTTTGCTTGGAATGTATCAAAATCACTTTGTGGGAAAAGCTACAAATCAACAGCGGCAGCCACCTCCCTTAAATCAAAATATGATGCAATTGTAGTTGGTGCAGGTGAGTTGAACTGATGTTGACCCATTAATAGCAACGCACCTGACCATCTTGACCATGAATTGATAGTATATATGATTAACATTACAATTAAATTCTTCAGGAGATTTAACTATCGAGTTATGGTTCACCCTAGTAGGGTGACCCTACATACTCACAATTTACGGAGAATTCAATTAGATTAATCCATCGTAATTATCACTACTCTGGTTTTAATAAATGAAAGTAATCACCACACTAGAGTAGCGATAATTACAATGGATTATATACCTGGTTGCCATGAACTCATTAAATTCAACTCAATTTGATTAAGATGCAAGATATGGAATAGTCTGCTAGGTGTGAAATTTAAAATAGAATTATTTTGCCCCTACCATTGCCAATTATAGTTAACCACATTCACAGTGTCACTTTCATTTTGTTCTGTCTCCTTTCTACGTTTCATATATGACCAAGACAACCAATTTTAAAATCTTTACTTCAGGGCACAATGGTTTGATATCTGTAAGTATTCAATGTATCTAAATATTGATTGCAGCATTATTGTTCTCAGCTGTTGCCTCAAAGTTGTTATTATTTCCTGCTGTTGATACCATGTGTTAAAAAACTTTAATTGTTTAAGCTGTAGCTATGTTTGTTGCAGTTATATTTGCTACTGCAAACGCATGTCACTGTCAATGATGTTGTGCTCTTGCTGTTGTTAACAATATTATATATGTTGCCATGGCCAGTTAGATTTGGGTCACTGGTTTTCTTGCAAACTCAACTACTGTGATCTTGTTGAGCTTTTGTGATTGTTGATGTTGTTCATTTTTGTCATTATTATTACCAGTGCAATTCTATTACAATATTGTGATCATTTCATAATACACTTAATCTAAAGAACTTTACCCCAACCATCCAGGCTGCATATCTGCAGAAGGCTGGTCTCAATGTACTTGTACTGGAACGAAGACACGTGATTGGTGGGGCTGCAGTCACTGAGGAAATTGTACCAGGTGATAATTGCCTGAGGAATGGTTTTGAAACATGATAAATCTGTACTTGGGTTGTTTCAGTCGTGATATTCGAGCATAACCTTGGAAAATATGTTTTTATTCAGGTTTTAAATTCTCCAGGTGCTCGTATGTTCTCAGCTTGTTAAGACCTCAAATTATTCAAGATTTGAAGCTAAAGGTGCTGAAAATTTATTAAGATTCAAATATAACTATGTAATAAGGAGCTTTATTGAATTTTAATAACCTTAAGTAACCATATAGGGTATAGTTCCAGTGAACTCGGTAATTCAAGTTCAACACACCTTTATAATCATTACATCATCTGGTCCAGGAGCTTCGCTTCATGAAATGTAGTCGTGACGTAATCAATCAGGTGGTTTTCCAGTAGGCTGCCTAGCGGAAGCTCGACCAGGGAACAGGACGATCAATTTTAACGTATAACTGTAAAATAGCGTTTTTTATCTCATGATATATGGTATGATAGTTTTATCGCACACTCCCCCCTCCGTCTTTGCCCCAATCCATTTTACACCGGCAAATTGTTCACTGTCCATCATCCTGGGTTGTTTTTCGTTTCATAGGACTTTGGCCTAAAACTGTATTTTCGCGATCCGAATTATTTTACGCCGTTGGCAGATGGTCGCTACCTGTTGTTGGGATCAAATGATGAGAAAAATTGCGAACAAGTTTCCAAATTTTCCCATAAAGATGCCGAGGCAAGCGATAATTCGCATCATTTAACCGTGTTTTTCCCACCTGCGAATCAGGGGGATATATATTCATATATTCATGTTTATATAGGAACAATAATAGCGTAGGAACAATAGCGTACACAAACCCAGAGTCTGTGCACGGAGTAAAGACCCAGGGTACGAGGTTGTAGCGTACAAAAGAAATCAATCGAAGATATGAATAAACTCCCTCCCCCCCCAATTAAGCTTCTAGCGACGGCCCTGGTTTTGATATAACTCTGTATGCTAACATTCCTATCCATGCTCCAGTGTTATGAACTGGTGAAGTCAGTGAGCATGTTTTCAACTTTTCACGTCAATTATTCTGGATTATCTAAGTCATGTTTTATATTTACTTACTTAGATGTTGCCGAAATACGAGGCTACCCTTGGTAGATTAGGTATGCAGACCTGACATATCCGATGATCTGGAATGATCGATGTCAAATTTCTTGAATGATATATCAGATGTTGTCTTTTAGCGCAATTATCGATTCATTGCATGGATTTACCGATGATAGCAGGAGTAATGCTGATAGCTACTGAGTGAGCTAATACATCAGCTAATACATTAGATAGAAGACTAGAAAAACACGCCTACTGCTCACCTGATTTGGCCAAATATGACTCCTGGATCTAAGTCACATATTTCGTATCCAGCGTACTTGTAAAGCTAGCTGTGAAACGATGACAGGGCTTTGTTGAGTTTTGACCACAAAAACTTTGCTTCTCGATGGAGGTAGCTTCTTTTTTTCTCAGTGGCAGTCAGTGTTATTAGCCAAAGAATAGTTTTTTACGGAGTAGACTACGCGAAATGTGAGGAGATAAACATACACGCAATTCTCGTCTCATTCACTTTAAACTTTTGAACTATGAAATATTTAATGTCTTTGACAGTCGAAGCAATCGGCCCGTTCCTTGACAATCCACCATTGGACATCAATGCTTTGGTTCATGGCTCGCTGCGAGAGAAAATGAACACATTGCCTTCATTAAAAGCTTTGATGAAAACAGGCAAGTTTGCATTGCTGATTTGAAAGCGGTGGTATGCCGTTATCTTTCGAGGTTTTTGAGCAGAAAACTACACTAAGGTCTAGGGTAGATGACACTAATGTAAGTATTGTCAGTTGACATTCTGTTATCTCAAATTTTTTCGTTTAGTACGGAAGCTTGGTAAAGATCTACCCTTGTTCTACGACCTTCTCACGGCTCCTGCTACAAAGATAAGTATTCTAGACGGTTGTCAGTGACTCCAGTCATTAAAAACATTGAAACAAGACTAAAGGCACTGTTACACGGTGCAATTTTTCCTGCAGCTTGCAATGCAATTCTTCTTTTGAGATATGTAAATTTGACAACTACGAAACTTTTGTCCTTATTAAGCCGGTTTTCCACGAGCGATACTTTTCGCGACTTTATTCCTTTGTATTTGAGCAATTTGTTCCAGATGGTTGCAGTTGAGAGCTCTGGAACAAAAGTAAAATGTCGATTCGCGCGAAAAATATCGCTAGTGGAAAACCGGCTTTACACTCCATGGCGTTTCTTACACTTACATGTTGAATACTCTTCACTAATTTACATCTCTTAAAAGTAGAATTGCGTTGCAAGTTGCAAGAAAAATTGCACCGTGTAACATGGCCCGAATTAATGTACGGTTGAAGGAACCCCCTAGTTCATCCTTCAGGTTATGTGATGTCATGTTTTTTTCCGCGCACGTTTTAGATAAATGGTTCGAGTCCGAACCTCTGAAGGCTTGCTTGGCCATGGACTCCATCATTGGAGCGACCGTCAGCCCTTCGACTCCCGGCAGTGCGTAAGTTTAGAAACCTGGGCAAGATGGAAACAATGTTTTTCTGTTCATGTTTCTCAGATGTATATAAAATATTCAGGAAACACTGTCTCTTAGTTATTCTTGCGTTTTTGCAAAGGTATATTGTGAATAGTTTCATCTACGATTATACTCCTTGTACGATACTACAACTAGTGCATGTTAACAACTTAACAATGCTTGGAAAAAAGAATCATACGAATGTACGCGTTGTACCTATTTTTTCTAATTTAGATATGTTCTTTTGCATCATGTAATGGGGGAACTTGAGGGACACCCGGGGGCATGGGCGTACGTCGAGGGTGGTATGGGGAAACTCTCTCAAGCAATCGCAGACTCGGCGACTTCGTTGGGCACAACAATATTAACGAATACGGTAAATAAATCGCTAGTTCCCTTTTAATATCAGGACCCGTTTACACTATACCGGATTGCTTCCGGAGTGGTCAAAATTTTGTAGCTAAAGGCAGTAAAAAAATTTACTGTGAGAGATCGAAATAAATATACTAAATCTGTCAAGCATTTGCTGCTATAACCATTGCCCTTTGAACGCAAACGAAGATATCATGACAAGCGAATCCTGTATAGTGTAAACCGGGCCTCAATGTCCCTTTCGGGGACTGGATAAAAGTTTTTTGCTATGATAAGTTTTGAAAATGTATCAGTTTTTTTCACTTTAGTTTAGTTTCGCTCTAGTCTTTTCCAGTCTTATTAACTGTCGTCGAAATCTTCAAAGAATTAATCATTTTGAAGACAGCCATTTTTGAACTCCCTGAAGGTTGTAAACTCGTTTCGATAAGCCTGTGATAAAAATTAGTTAGTATCCCTTGGGAAAGATAATGCTTGTTTTTTATTGGTATTATCATCATCCTGCATCAAAGTCTTGTGTGCGTGTCTCATTACTCTCATATGTACATGCATCTCAAACTATTGCTGGGTATTTTTCTAGCCTGTGAAATCGTTTCTTTTGCAAAATGATTCACCCTCGTCCGTGTCTGGTGTGGTACTGGAAGACGGTACAGAGATTACGTCAGACATCGTATTGTCAAATGCGACCCCCCAAATCACATTCCTGGATCTTCTACCGCAGGTATATCTTCATTTTTAAAAAACCGTTTACAAAGAAATCGTTACTGCCTAAATTTCGTTGAATCATCACCTATTCTCGTACCTAATACGTGTTCTTGTAAGCATGTGTATGGGGTAGCGAAATTTAGTCATTTTTCCTCACAGTTCATTGAACACATCCAATGATCGTCTGGGTGTTTGAAACCCTTGAAAAGTACTTAAATTCAAGAATCGATTTCAAGGGCATTTGAAATAATTTATGGTCAAAAAATAAACAAAGATAACATAATTACGTGTTTATTTTTCACCAGGGAGTTTTACCAAAGGAACTTGAGAAAGATATATCATGTTTAAACTATGATTCGCCTGTCACAAAAATTAACGGTGAGAAATGTTGGTAAATATACCTTGCATCAAGAAACGTACAAGGATAATCCCACTGAATGTTATACCGGATGTTGTTTGGCCTATTATAGTGTTGGTACTCCTGTGCCAAACGCATTAAAAGGTGCATTGATATGGAATACTTCGGACGATGTTCGTTGTTTTTCATGCGTTTGCCACTCGAAAGACGCGAGGTTTAAGCAGGGTTTACTGTTTTGGCATAAATAATTTTACACGTGTCGCAAAAGTTACCCTCGAAGCTAAAAAATCTTGTTCTCAAACACCGCTTTAAAACTGCTTTCACGCGAAGCAGATTACCCCGTTCATTGACTGTGAATTCAGGCCTATAATGATAGATATATTTTTGTGAGATATGAATTAAAAGTTCAAACAGTCGTTTGCAATGTAGTTTTTTAGATCTCATATGCTAACTATTTTCTGTACCAAATCTGAAAATCTGGTTGTTTCATAGTTGCCGTTGACAAGTTACCGAACTTTTTGGCGCGACCGAATAAGGAAAACGGCGAGGCGTCAGAACATCACAGATGTACAATTCATATTAATACGGAGTCGATGGACACAATAGAGAAAGCTTATACGGACTGCTTGCAAGGAAAACCTTCAGACAGGTAATTGATGTACACAATGCATGCTCTTTATTACCCCTCAGAAAACATGCTCAAACGTATGTCATGTTGTAAAACCCAAGATTCGGGTTATTTTAGAAACAAGATACGAATACAAACAGTTCATGGAATTTCAGCCCTAATTGAGAGTAACCTGATTTCTTAGATCGGTTTCAGTGGCAGATCTACGGGTAGTTAGAATAAATTATAACAGCTTAAAGTCGCAATCGCATTGGTAGATTTTTATTTCAAAATATTCTTTTGAAATCCATAACCATGATTAAGTTGCTTTGAATTTAAGATTTAGCTGTGTAATTTATTCTGGCTACCCCTATCCACAGCTGATCGGTTTCACAATAATCCTGAAATATCCTAAAGTGGAAAGATTATCCTTTGAATATTTGTGTATTGTATTTCCTACGATGGGCCAATGGCGTGGCACTATTTTGAGTACTGTAAATACGAAACATTTATACAAATTTTCATCGCAGACCATTAATCGAAATGTGTATTCCGTCATCCCTGGATCCGACGCTAGCTCCCCCTGGCTGTCACGTGTTATCCCTCTTTGTCCAATATACCCCGTATAATCTCAAAGATGCCACGTGGACGGACGAAATACGCAATGCTTTCGCTGATAAAGGTAAGGAGATTGAGATATAGCATTACCTTACCCCTCCCCCCCCCTTGTGTGCACTCTGCAAAAAACAACAAGATTTTGCGGAAGATTAATATGATGGCTGTTTATGACCTTCACGAGTTTGGAACCAGTAAACCAAGAATTAGTTTTAAGGACTATTAATTAGTTTTAAAACCAGTTTTCCGGCTTAAGACAAAATCCTGCACGATGTAAACAACTGTTAAGTACGAAATATTTCAAACCATGCGATTTTGGCCTTGGATATGGCTTAATGCCAGATATGGCTTAATGCCAGCACAGTTAATGGAACATACATGGTTTGCAGACTAAATAAAAGTACAATGCAACTCATTAACTATGTTATTGTCCAGGTTTATGCAAAAAATGGTCCTTTCTCCTCACGCGTCTATGGTATTTTAGCCAAACTTACTACTAGTGACATTCGTCTTGCTAAGCTCCTCAACCTTGATTTGAAAAATATGTTAATTAAAATATTGCTGTTGGTTTATCTGTGCAAAATACAATAGACATGTGATAAAAAGGAACATTTTTTTCATAAATCTACCTCAACATATGGTTAATGAGTTGTATTGTAGTTTTATGTGGTCTCCAAACCATGTATAAACTGTGACGCCAGCAAAGGCTTGCTTATTTTAAGGTGCCATCATTTTTTGCCATAATTTTCTCATCAATTGCGGCCAATTATGACCAATTAAAGGTCAGACATCAAAATGCGCTGAGGTGGAACCCCATGATAGATTGCCCTTGAAAGACTTTTCATAGAGTTGCTAGACCTTAGAAAATGTACCGCGAATGTCTATCAAGATCGAGTGTACAAAAAATATGTCAATTATGGGACCCATATATTAATTTTTTTTCCAAATACGCTGAGTTTGTGCTATTTTTGGCGAATATCACAAGTGGCTTCAACTTAATCTTTTCATCAGCGAGTTGCAAAATCAAAAAGATTAGTTAAGTGTTTCCATTCCTGAATTTCACCATGAAAACTTAATCGTTATCTTGCCTTAAACATCCTGCAGAAATATTAGTTATGAAAGCATAGGAATAACTCTCGCCAGCGAATCGTCAATATCTAATTGGAAAATTATCCAGGCAAAACCCATTTAAGGCTACCCTTTTCAACAGTACACGTGTACAGCCTAGATTTCCTGTGTACCCGTCATGGAATCAAGTCATCAGGGTAAGCGAGATAAAGCTGTGAAAATAGCCGCTTTAAACGTTTAGCATAGAAATTTCCGTGAGCGCTAATATATATAAAGGCCCTTTACACTATGCGATTTGTCGTAGACGATTCGTACCCTGGCGTATGTGAACGTATGAATGCAGGTACAAACGTGACACTTTAAATTCCAAACTGAGCAAAATTGAATGAAGATTTGACATAGGCAATCTTTTGCATTCGTCAGAATAATAATTGCATACAAATTATCGTGTAGTCTAAATAGGCCTCAAGACGGTGTTCTCTCTTCGTGCAGACATCCCCCTGTCAATATACTGCGTGTTGTGCTTATTTTTTTTTTGGTAACTAGGCAAACTAGCTCTTTTAATACCATTTCTTTAAATATACGTTTTACATGCACTTTAATCAAACTATCGCCCTGGCTAACGACTTAACGTTGATATTAACTTATATAAATAAATCCATCGAAATTAGAAAGTATGGGGGGTGTCAAATTAATTCATGGCAGAATTTCCACTAAGGCAATTTCAGTTCCAGATAATTATTAAGGCTAGTTTCCACTCAAGAAAAATCTCCTTTGGATCGGAACGGACAGGAAAATTTCCTTTGTCGGTGAGTTCTCAGGCCGCGTTTATACAAAAGAATCTTTCCTGTCCTGTCCGATCCAAAGGAGAATTTTCCTGAGTGGAAACTAGCCTTTATGCTGTACTGAATTATTTCCTGTCAACCAAAATAAATGTGCTTTTAACCATAGTACATGTACATGCCTAAAAGGTTCTCGCAATATTGATATGAATAGGATTATAAGAACTGATGTGATTGTTGTCCAAATTGTTTGCATTTTTCCACAGTATTGTAACTATTGTTGTGTAGACGATCACTTTAATTTAACCGTGTTTTTTATGTCTGTCGGCATGCAAGTTTTTAGCACAACACCGTTCATGATCGTTGCTCTCAAATCACAAACTCGCAGATTTTGGCCGCCTGGAATGAATTATGCTTGTTTCTGCGGTTATAATTTTAACGCATTGGTATAGACTATAGTCTAAACACCGATATTTTTTAAGCATGAAGTGCTAAAATACCTATAATATTATCATTCTTATGACTGTTTTCTTCGGATTGTGTTCTGACACATTCCGAAGCGAAAGTATATATATTTACATGTGAGAACAAATTTTGTCTTTCGTCGAAAGTAATCACTAAAGTAGTACTTAAATTACGGGAACCACTGAGTATTTGAGAAAAAATGAAAGAATACAAACTCCGTAAAGAGTAAACATTTTGAAAAATATAATTTTCGACGATTCGATTGAACTATATATAGTCACCATCAGGAAAAGAAAAATGGTGACTATGGTTTAGTCGAAACGTCGAAAATTATATATTTTCAAAATCTTTATTCTTTATGGAGTTTCTATTGCTTTATATTTCAGTATCTAATGTAAATGGAAAATTGAGGCGAATTTGTTTTCATTTTGAGACCAAATTGGAAGCGGTAAAGAAAAACTACTCCCATGCAGTTATGTCTAAAGGATATGAATTAGAGAGAAAATCGTCCCAAATTATATCTACAATTTATCCTTGAAGCAAATGTGGACGCGTTTTGAACGATGATTGCAGAACGATAGTCGTGAAACGAATTATGTTTCTTAAAGTTTTCCTGTTTATTGTGTACGGAGAAATTTGACCGCATGCAATCCGATTTAATTGCTTTGGAAAAAAAACCTTTCTGCAACCGTGAACTTCGCAATCCGGTTCCATGCCAAGTTTAAGAGCTGACCTTCGATTGTCTAAGTCATCTTTATAATGACAGAAGAGCAGTTCCCTTTCAGCTGTGCGTCATCAGTTTCAGCGCATTTCATCACCTTATCTCCATAATTTGCGTCATTTGATTGGCACCGATCGCGCGTACATAGCAAGCATCCCATGTTTTGCCTCGCTCACAACTGGGCAGAACGTCAAACGAATATGGCATCGACACTGCACTTGTTTCTCGTCGCTCTTTGCATTGCTTCGAGCTGCGCAATAAATGGGATCCCAACTGATGAAAGCACAACGTCGGGTCCTACCAAGATACCGCAAGGCAGTGTGAAATCCCTGAGTCAACTTGCGCTGGCCGTGGCAAGATCCACCTACCTACCGATTGATCGCTTCTCGCAAAATCGCACGATCATAGAAAACCCTTCTCATTTTGGCAAAAGTTGGGTGCGTTGTCCGAAGGATAAACCTGAAATGCAAACGGGCTTGTGCTACAAACCCTGCAACAAATCCGGCTTGGCCACAGCGAGAGGCGTTGGACCGATTTGCTGGGGTTGTCCCAAATCCCACCCCGTAGAACATGGCGGAATGTGCTATAAGGAATGCCCAGATCGCAGACCTAGAGGACGTTTGTTTTTATGTTTTGGTGACTGCCCAATTGGTTACCGGAATGTCGGGCTCACCTGTGTCCGACTCGGCAGCTTGCGGATTGCAAACACCTCCAATTGCCCATGGTACGACAAGTGCGGGCTCATATTCTCGCGTGGATGCTCCAAGTGTCCCGCGGAATATAAGAACGATGGATGCATTTGTCGTCAAAACCCTCATGTGACTGTACGCCCGCGTTTTTACCGAGGCATCGGTGTCATGATGAAATCGTACAACCGAGGCATGGGAACATTGCCGAACTTCTTGCGCTACGATCCGATGAGCGAACGGGAGGCGTGCGAAACAAAGGACTGGGTCGGAACCGCGTTTGCGAAGGATGACACGGAAGTGGTGAAGTTTATAAACACTAATCAAAAAATCGCAGTGTTCGGATTTCGTGGAACTGAGACCAAAAGTATCTCCGATTGGTTGGTACATTTGGACTTCCACCCCGATATATTCCTGGTCAACAGCAACACGCGTCTGAAGGCTCACGGCGGGTTCAAAATTCGATACCAAAACATCGCTGCTTGGTTTGAGAAAGAATACCTCAATACACCCAAGGATCACTTAATTTTGCTCACCGGTCACAATCAGGGGGGTGCCCTGGCCCACCTCGCCGCTGTTTTTGCAGCAGGGAAACTGGCACGAGCTCCCAACGCCGTCATCACGTTTGGAAGTCCCAGATTCGGCGCGGATAGTTTCAGAAAATTCTACCAAAAGCATGTTGGTTGTAATGCCACAGTAGATTACGTCACCAAAGGCGACCTCGTTGCTATGTCACCAAGCGTTTTGCTATACGGCTACTCGCATGCGTGCAAGGTCGTGAAACTCGGACCCAGTCGCCTGAATTTCATCCGCGCACACAGTCTTTACACCGGATACGGAGAGGGGCTGAAACAAGAATTTGGCGATACGAATGAGATCAAAGGTGGCTGCGATGTTCCCATGGAGAATGAGAGTATCCTGTTTGATAATATAATGTATTCTCAGTAAAGCTTTAAAAAAGATTATTATTTACCATTTAGCGATTGACATTTGAAATATGAACAAAAAGTTAAGTGAAATGTATTGTGAAATCATTCTACCAGTTTAAAAATCTAGTAAAGAAATTTTTATTTTAAATTTGAGCTTATGGTCAATGTTGGGTTCATTTGATTGGGTTCATAACCACAATAATTTTTCAAATATATTAAATGCAAGAAAGGTTTTGGTAACCGTTGTTATGCTGTTTTAAAAAATATTTGGGGCGGCAGCTAAACTTTATGCGCATTTATATAGGCTAGAAAAGTATAGGTAAAGTAAGGTAAAGACTGAGCCGGACTTTTGACTAGTCAAACTAGTGAATAGTTAATTGATTCTGACAACAAAATTCGGTTGCATGGTATGGGCGTTTTTATAAAATTTTCTACTTTTGATTCCGCGTTTTGAGTGATATCGCAATCAAAAATAGATGGAATATTCCCACTCTATATTAACTAGTTCGGCCATTACTTATAGTCCCGGTTCGCAAACCGCACTCACTTACTTTATCACATAATTTACAGATGTTTTTTCTGACGCAACGCCTGGCACAACTACACAGGAACAACATAACTGTAATACTCGGATAACAATATTTCCAATTTCCTGTTTTTTTCCTTTCTTTTTGGCACTGATGCCTTTTACTAAATCTATTTATTAATAAAACTCTAAATTTTATAAGTCAATATATTGTTCAACACATAATCATGATACATTACACACATAAAACGTATATAGACTTCTACAACGCTGCAACATCCAGTCAACTTGGATCACAGCAATGTTGTTTGTTACAAATTGGCTGATTGCACTATTCTTGCCAGCAGGACGAGAAAACAGTCCAGATAAATATTCAGTCCACAGTAATTACATTCCAGTTTGCGATTAAGCAAGACCATAGGCAAAACCAAAAACAAACAAACATGTAGTTTCACAACAGCAAATATCAGTTAAAGGCTGATTATCCTTTTTTAACAACTTGCTCAAAAGAGAACCCGAAATTTAGTAAACTGGCCAATTTTGAAGCGAAACATTGTAGAATGTAGAAATAACAGCCTTGTGAAGCTAGCAAATTTTGTGGCCATAAGTTCATAACCTTTTTTATCAATTTTTTGCCCGCGAAATACTGGAGTAGACAAACTAACCCTAAAGGTCCATATTTTATTCATTTTATACTTTTAGAAATTTTGAATGTCTATTGAAATTGACATGCGCTTTCAACCTGCGTTGAAGCTAATGAAGCAGACAATTTCAAGACGATCAGTCTAAAATTCTGTCTATAAATAATATGCAATGAGGCATGCTCTGTTTCGCAAGTTTTAAAATAAGTGCAATGTTGATTAGTTGGCTTTTAACACTTTCCAGCTGAAACTATAATACATTAAAACCATGAAGTTAATTCGATTATTTTGCTGCGAAACTTAAGCTTGTATTATATCCACGACTTAATTTCTCAAATAAATCTAAAAAAAAAGAAAAACATTCCTGCTACAATCAATAATGAACAACGCAAGACTTGTCCATTCAAGGTGAAAAGTTGACCTTCAATGCCATGATAGACTGAAGCGCGTCCGCGTTGACAGAAGTGCAGTTCCCCTTGACCTTGAGTTATACGTCCTTCGCTTCAGCGCATTCCATCATTTGCGCAATTTGCGTTTTTTAATTGACATCGATTTGGTATTTGGGTTTATAAGAAAGCGTCGCATATTCTGAAACATCAGCAGAACGAGTATGGCAGCAACAATGTCTCATTTGTTCCTGGTGGTTCTCGGCGTTGCTCTAAGCTGCGCGACAAATGAAATCCCAAACGGTATTTCCACAACAACAACCCCAAGTCCGACGAACGAACCGCAAGTCACCGCGAAATCTCTGAGTCAACTTGCGCTGGCCGTGGCAAGATCAACCTACCTACCCATTGACCGCTTCTCGCAAAATGGCTCCATCATGGAAAACCCCTCTCATTACGGCGAACGTTGGGTGCGCTGTCCAAAACGTAAACCTGAAATGCAAGCCGGCCTCTGCTACAAGCCTTGTAATCAAAACAAGTCTAGCTGGGCTTTCGCGAAAGGTGTTGGTCCTGTTTGCTGGGGTTGTCCCAAGTCCCACCCGATAGAACAAGGAGCACTTTGCTATAAAGAATGTCCAAATCACAGACCTAAAGGAAGAATGTTTTTATGTTTTGCTGACTGCCCGAGCGATTACCGGAATGATGGACTGACCTGTTTCCGAGACGCCCGCTTGCGGGTTGCGGACACTTCGGATTGCCCATGGTACGATAAGTGCGGGCTCATATTCTCGCGTGGATGCTCGAGGTGTCCCGCGGGATACAAAAATGATGGATGCACTTGTCGACAAAATCCTCACGTGACTGTGCGCCCGCGGTATCATAGAGGCATTGGCGTCCCGATGAGATCGTACAGCCGAGGCATCGGGGTATTGCCGCACTTTTTACGATACGATCCGACGAGTGAGCGGGAAGCGTGCCACACAAAGGACTGGGTCGGAACAGCGTTTGTACGGGAGGACACGGAAGTGGTAAAGCTTGTGAATGCCCGTCAAAAGCTCACAGTCTTCGGTTTTCGGGGAACCGAAATCACAAGCGTTTCCGATTGGTTGGCAAATTTTGACCTCCACCCTGACGAATTCGTGGTGAACAACACGCGTCTAAGCGCTCACGGAGGGTTCAAGAAAAGATATGAAAACGTCGCGGTTTGGTTTGAGAAGGAATACCTAAATACACCCAAGGATCACTTGATTTTGCTCACCGGTCACAATCAGGGGGGTGCCCTGGCCAGCATCGCCGCCGTTTTTGCAGCAGGGAAACTGGCACGAGCTCCGAACGCCGTCATCACGTGGGGAAGTCCGAGGCTCGGCGCGGATGATTTCAGAAAGTTCTACCGAAAGCATGTTGGTTGTAATGTCACCAAAAATTACGTCACAAGAGGCGATGTTGTTGCCCAGTTACCAAGCGCTCTGTTATACGACTATTCACATGCTTGTGAAGACGTGAAACTCGGATCCAGTGACGAAAATTTCATCCGCGCGCACAGTCTTTACACTGGATACGGAGAGGGATTGGAGCGAGAGTTCGGCGATTCGAAAGAGATCAAAAGTGGATGCGATGTTTCCATGGCGATAAAGAAACGCGTTGCTGAGAATACCCTCGTTTCTGAGAACACACTCGCATACTATCAACTTTGAACAGATCTTGTTGACATTATGAATAATGGCATATTTTAGTCGTAAAATTTTAGTCCAATATTAAGTCGAATTTTGCATGAAGATTATAAATTCTAGGGTTAGAAATTAAACGTAGCGTTTATCTTTGGGTCAATGTGTTTGGGTTTATTTCTGTAGTAAATTTTCAAATAGAATATTATAGAATGCAAGTAAAAGTTGTGATAACCACCATTGTTTTGATGTTTGGGAATTGATAACAGAGCCCAGCATGGGCGCTATTTTGGTTCGGGCCCATACCGCATGCATGTAAAGCTACACTTTGGCATGGGGTTATAAACTAGGGATGTGATTGGTTTGCAAAAAATTTCGCCGCGAAAAAGTGTAATCGCTTCCTTCGCGTGTTTGTAGTAGAGTTCGCGTGAATAAATTCGCCTAGTGGAAAACGGGCTTTAAAAACCTGTTGTCAATTACGCGCAGACACTAAAAAACGAAACGATTGATTCACAAAATACAGACTCTTTTGTAAAGTCAAATTATGGAGACGTTATTCGGAATTAGCTGTCATTTCAGTTTAATTGCTTTTGCTGTATGTATAGTTTTATAATTTTAAACGTGATTACTTTTTCTAGTATTCGACAGTATCGAGGAATACGCGCCAGGATTTAAATCCTCAGTCGTCGGTAGGGACATTCTAACGCCGCCTGATTTGGAGAAAACATTTGGCCTCACTGGAGGGGTGAGTGCAGACAAAAACATTAGAATAAATAAGCCGCGTATATTAAGTAACTATATATTAAGTATGCCTACCATGCAATGTTAGTAATTTTGTATAATATTAGGTTCGATACGCGCGGTAAAAAATAACCGTTGTTTTTAAGCTGGAAGTGACATTCTTATCCGCGTAGCAAGTTAATAAGATTGTGAACTTTGCAGGCCCTTTTTGCCACAACTTTTTGCAACAAACTTGTTCGAGGCTCTAACACAAGCTGAGATATCGATAAACTTGTTCCCAACAATTCTGACAGTGTACGCGCCGATCAGAAAAAAATGATTACGTCACTTGACATTGCCACTGGAACACTCTAACTTTGTTGCCAGACTTATCAATTCGTTTCCAAACAATACAGTAGAAATGTTGCCGTGCAGTTAAGTGTGTTGAATGTTGTCGTTTGGATTTTTTAAGGCCTCTGCCGGAGTGCCGGTTGTACAAAGGCTAGATTCCCCCAGCCAATTTAATATGGTTGTTTCGTAATGCTAAATTAGCGTTAATCGCTCTTTTTCTTAGAATATATTTCATGGCGCGATGTCTCTAGACCAGTTGTATTTTGCGAGACCGGTACAAGTCCTCTCCAACTACAGAACTCCTGTCAAAGGACTGTATTTATGCGGCAGCGGAACTCATCCTGGTAAGACTTCGTTTCTAATTTCTATAGCGGTCTGTAATAGCGGTCGTGAACTGATCAATAGTGAGGTTGAGATTTGACTTCCACTACCACTATACCTTCCCTATATTTCTGCAAACGTGAAGTTCCACTACCACTATACCTCTCGGTAATCCATTTTACGTATCTTAAAAGCTATAAATATGCAAGTGGATTGCTTAAAGCTCAGAGGCCGGTCGTTTGAGGGGCGTTTAGCTTAAACGGTGGATAAGGCAAAGTTCAAAAATACTCTCTTGTGAATGAATGCCTACATCTTATGCATTAAATATGTACTTCCATTGAATATCAAACTATTTACATCGAAATATCTCAGCTCAGTTGTCCAATAAATAGATAATTTTGTTTTCCATTTTGAATTTTCCCACCGTTCAAGCTAAACGCCTGTCAAACATCGATTTTAAAAATGTTGTTCAATTATTTTATAGGAGGAGGAGTAATGGGGGCCTCTGGAAGAAATGCGGCGAACACCGTACTCCTCGATCGAAAGAAATAATAGATGGTGAATATATACATTGTATGTAGTTCCACGCCATTCATATTAAAAGATCATTCAATACTAAATCGAACAAAGTGTACACTGATAGAAAAGCATTATACATATTAAAGAAATCTCTGTATATGCATCCTGTATTTTTGTTCAAATGAAACAGATAGTATTAACAACAGTACCGTAAAGCAACCGCCTGCGCTCCCTACAAGCGGTAACTCCCCCCCCCCCTTCCTCCACTATTTACGACTTGTAAAATCCTGTGCATGTGAAATGCATTACTGTGAAGATTTTTTTAAAGACGTAAATATATACCCAAGATAGTTCATCAGACGATTTTTTGTCACCGTGTGCATGGAAGCTTCAAATCTTTGGCGCAAGACATATACTTTGTTGTTGAGCATTTATAAATCTTAATTTTGCTTGCGGTTGAGTCTATATGAATGAGTGCAAACAGGTCTCCTCGGTGCCCCGCTGCAATCTAATACTTTAGACAACGTTCATTTACTTTTTTTTTATCAAGAACGTATCCAACGCTCAGTTCATCTCTTGTTACTGTGTGAATTTTCTTGATGAGCATCTTCACTTTTTTAATACTACCTTAAATACAAAAAAGTTATCAGTGAAGAGTGAATAAATCTTGTCATCGTTGCATTATGGTAATTAGTATATATTATATAGAAATGGATACTTATTTGACGACTAGATCTAGTCTTTTCCGTCATTTCAGATCACCTAAAAATAGACGTAACCTTTCATTGCAACCAGATTATCTTTCATGCCAGGGAGACTTAAAAAGTTCCTCAAAATGTGACAAACATTTTTTATTGCCGTTGGCCAATATGCGATATCCCTAAAATCACTACAGGCAAGAAAGTACCTGTAATATTTAGGGTTGATATGTCGCTTCATTGATTTATATGAAAGTTCTCCTGTAGTCCGAGTTCAACGCGTCAAGATCATACACGTACCACTTGAAAAAGTGTCAAAATAAAAAATAATCTTTTCACACTTAAATTAATACGTAATAAAAAATTAACTATACTCCTGAGTAAAACTTTACTCTTTATTCTTTAAACTTTCTTTACAAATCACCAGCGCCAGCGGGTGGAATACTAATCTTTCCTACAATCAGATTGGCTGTATCAGGGGACGGGATTTTACGCTATCTGATCACGGTCCCGGAGAAGTCTATATCTTATTTGCTTTGCTTTCAACTTTTAACTTCTTTATTTCACTGAAGCTATATTTTATATAGTAAATGAGATGAATGAGGTTTTGATCGTTCTGTGTATAACCCCCGTTGCTAAGACTGTCTACATAAATTTAAAAGGTCTGATCGTTACCTTTGATAAAAAAGTCATACTGTTTTAGTCGGTTTGATTGTAAAATATTTCCTTCTTCAAAAAATATTTTTCTATCTGGACCTCCAATGCCGTAGCTAACATAGAATTATTTAAGAAACGTATAGCATCAGTAGCATAGAGCAACCAAGGAACGTCTTCATGTTGAATTATAGTTTACTTGTATACTACAATGTACTTGTAGTTCAGTGAGTATTGTCTCAAAGGCGGCTAAACTTAGTTATCGAGACGGCAGTTTTTATATAAAAGCTTTTAAACATCAGCTAAATCGGTCTTCCGTGTAAGATGCAGAGAAAAAGGAACACAGCAAATATTCGTTTGACACCTGCATGAAAGATGTCAAAAAATTAACATACGTGAAAAGATTCCTTCTCGTATAAAAATCTCACAGCGTGAAGAAATTATTTCACACATATTAATTTCTTGACATCTGCCACAGGAACCTGCTTGCGAATCCTTTCTTTTCCTAATTTGAACGTTGTGAAACTATAAGATCATACCCTCTCGCTTTCATTACACAAAAGAATTTTGTTGAAGGTAAGCGCTAATAGGCTTGCTCCGTTTTTTAACGTATATAGGCAATACACAAGAAACGTCAAACTTCGTTTGGGTGTCTTTAAGACTTTATAGTGAATTGTATGCCATGCAGATTGTTGAGAGAATGTTCTACGTTTGTTTCCTGATGTTTGTCATTCATGTCGTGGGATTTGAGGCAAAACACATTGCAAATGAAGCGCCAGTTCTTGGTAAGTGAATGTCGTTTTCAATGAGAAGGAAGATGTTGGCAGAAAAATTGTTTATTCATGCTAAGTAAGCAGTAAATTACTTTAGTTCGAACAGGCAATGAATCAAAGTAGAACGTGGTAGTCACAAACATGACAAATATCGTACGGCCGAAAAACATTTCAATACCAGCACAATTTACAACTGATGTTCTAACTTTGTAGATCGGGCACTGTTAATAAGGGGAACAAAGTCATTTGTCACATGAATGTATAGTTGTTTTGATATTTTGATCTTGTCCACATCTTGCAACAGACCAACATTTCCCAGCAGACAACCTTGCAAAATGTATAAAAAACATAAAAACATACTCCGTAATAAAAATTTTGTAAACTCAAGATTTGAGTTGTTATGTATAAAATATTTCAAAGCAATTGACAAACCGACCACAGGAAAAGCTAATTAAACGCGCTTTGTAGAGTTTTGGCCCTAGAATTCAACTAAAACGGATTCATTAAAAATTTAACCTAATTGGAAAAAATCAAACTGAAGATCTCGTCAATAGAAAAATTAAGGTAGGAAGTTAAAATCGAGAAGGTACATGTTGCGAGGCACTAACATGGTTGGTGATAAACCAGAAAATATTTTATGATTCTAACCCTCTAGTTCTTGTCACGACAAAAGTGAGTTATCATGTGCCCGGAGGCTTTCTGCATTCGTCGGCTTTCTTGCTTCCAGATGTTTGAAGAGTGTGAAATTTAGTTTACAATATGCGATGAATATTTTTCTTAGATTAGTTGGAAAACATTTCGACCAACTTTTTAACAATGCAAATTAACCAGGGATGTCACATCCCCTACACCCCTCCCATGCACCCATGCAACGAGTTGGGTTGCAGCTGTTTAATCTTGGGTTGAAACTAACCAAATGTGCAAAGCAGAGGTTTAAAATTTCACCCTGAATTAAGAATCTTTATCCATGTAGTTACCTTGTTTATGCTGAAAATTTACATCATATTAAATTTGCCAATGCCTATTTTCTTTTAATGCTAGTACCATATGACCTTTCAAATTTCACTGGCGAAGATTTCCTAGAAGCTGGAAAGCTTCGCAAAAAGCGAATGGTATAAGAGCTCTTGACCCCTTGAAGTTTCCGAGGGACTGCAAAAGCTCAAAGCTCCTCGGATTTGCAAAGAGATGCAAACTGACCGTTAAAGCCGGAGGTAACCATTGGAAGGTGAAAACACCTAACTGGAGGCAAAGTTTGATTATTATTCCCCACAAGGTGAAAGCACCCAAAACTTGCATGAGCATCATTAATGACCTCAATAATTATTGTATTGGGAAGAATTAACCGGTATTTCTTGCTATGTAATGTTGCATTGTCCTGATTCTCGAATCTTTAGTGTAGTTATAAATACTCAAGTAATAAGTGTAATCAAGTCAAACAATTTAATAAAAGAAGGTTGCTCGAGCCACCATAGTAACCGTCATTTATTTTCGTTATTCTTTGTGTTATTCTTTGGGAAACAAGTCGAAATTTTGTGATTATGTCCAGTTTTAAGAACATAACCCTCATTAAGAACCGTTAGATTAATTGTAAACCGAAAGTATACTTGAAAACTCAAGTATACCTCAAGAGGTATTAAGTCGTTTCAACAGAAATGGATACTTTTTTACTACTAGACCCAGTCCTTCCGGCCATTTCATATCACCCAAAAATAGACGTAACGTTTCATTGCAACCAGAGTAGTTGGATATATACGCAGATATATACATTGGAAATTCCCAAAGCGTTACAAACTAGTTTCCATTTAACTCAGTGTTAAGAAAAAAATTGTCTTTTGATTAATTTAAGCGCATGGCTTCTATTGTTGGGAGCGTTAACCGAGGCTGAGCACAGCGAAGATTATTTCACACTAGTTAAATATTTCACATCTGCCACAAGAAGTGTGTGAATCCTTTTAGGTTCAAACAAACAGCAATACAAAGCGTTGAATGTTCAGAATTAAGAAGAAAATCTTAAAATCGTCGCAGTCCTCGACTTGGGCAATATTTGCCCACTCGTTTTAGTTAGTCTACTTATTCAAATTGGATAATTCCTTAACCTACCAAATTTAAACATTTGCTCAAAGATTGGCCTTGTTGATCAAGATCTCGATTATATTATTGTTATAACAAGGATTGAATGCATTATGTTGGGATAAACCCAAATTGTATGTATATGTCTGTGTGACGATTGACTTGTCGCTAAATAATTTCGGTATCATCAGCCCAAATATGCGTGATAATTTGAACGCTCAAGACTCAAGGATGCATGAGCATTACATTTATTTATTTATTTGGATTTTCTTCCTTTTATCATTATTCAATTAGTCAATGTCTTGCTAATGGCTAATCACGACTTAAGTGATGATTATTTTCGTCGTTCTAACAGCTAGGTTTAAGAAAGTTCAAGTGGTTCAACTCTCCACGTCAAAATAATTTATTTCTTTAAAATCTTTAAATTTGAACTTTAAACTATCATTTATGTGGAAACCTCAACGCAAAACTTTTCATTTGGGAGCTAAAGTTTGGTAAAATCATTGCAACGAATCGCGCTGGCATCAAAAACTTATTTATAAATTGCAGAAGCAACAATGTTTCAACAATTGCAGAAGCCACAAGGTAATTGCCAAACTACTTGCCTCCGCCATCTTGATGCTGACATTATCAGTTGTTGAGCAGGTCGGTAACTAAGTAACATTTATTGTTGTATACGAAGAACGCTTCATGCACTACGTCACCGAAATGTTTTTCAGTTCATAATGCCATAAAACCATAAAAATTCATAATGCCAGGATATCGCAATCAAAGATGGCTGCCTTGTTATTAGAATTATATAAGGCACGAGACAAAATTTGAAATTAAAGCAACGTCGGTCTTACATATTGCAATTGCGGAGCTTGATTTAAGACGGGCAGAAACTCAGTACTGTAATGAAATTTTTTTTTAATATTTTTATATCACCTTCAACAGGTTCCC